CCATTATCTGAAAATACACCAACTCAGCGGTATATCACAGCAGAACTCCGAGTTGGTTGTGTTGTTCATGCAAAGTAAATGCAGGGACACTCTCAGGAAAGAGGAGTCATCAATCTTTGACATAAAGGGACTTAAGAGTACAAGAGGGACACTCTTTAGATCAATTTGTCCTACTGCCAACTCGAACATCCAGCCTGAAACTCTAAATGTTTGTTTAATAAAGAGTACTCGTGGTTTCTCCTTTGAATTCATATTAAAAAAATCTGAGCTCAGTGTTATTACTGTGCAGACTATTTTTACTCTAAAAATTCGGAAGCAGTGATGCAGAAAGAACTGACAAAGGAAGGTAGATTTCAATTACCAGCTATTTCCACCACTCCTTGCTTTAGATGAATCATCCTTGAATGTAAAATGTGTAGCTACAGCTAAATAATACTATGCATCTTTGAAAGAAAATTTCACATAGCATACTGGGAGTGCCAAGCCCTGTTCTGCGTTCCCAGAATTGAGCAGAACATAGCTCTGTCCCCTGTACGTTACAAACAGCTTGACCAAGCAGGCAGAACATTACTACATGCTTAAGCAGGACTTTTCATCGAAGGGTCAAAAAAGCATCATACAGTTAAATTTCTGCAAGGAGAGTATTATTCAGTTCCCTTTTGAAGAGGAGCAAGAAAAGCCATCATGGTCACAGAGAATAAAATCACAGTGCTAAAAATAAAGGATATAAACCCTTTCTAGGTTCCTAGTTCAATACTGTAACCACTGCAGCATGCACACTTAAAAAAACCATGAAGAGCAATCAAAGATTCCCTAGAAAATACAACATGCTTAAAAGTCCCTTGGTTTGCTGGGACCTTAAAAAGCACAAGCAGTTATCCCATGTGGGTAGGCAATGAGTGGCCTGAAACAGAAGCCTAATTTTTCAAAGGTAGTGTGCTTGACTGTATTTTTCTGCCTCCAATTTCACGTACCTCAGATAAAGATAGTGGCAGAGAACCTCCCTCAGCTGCTGTGGAGGTCAGTAGAAACCTCGAGATGCTGTATGCCATTTAGAAAGTGTCTTTGTGCTGTCTCTGGCAGGTATGCCATAGAGTGCCTATCTCTGGCACACGTAGGAAAGAACTCTATGTGCAAAATGAAACTGAGAACACTTCTTTACATAGCAAATACAGATGAACTGGAACTGACTGCAGGAGCTGATAAACAGTAAAGACCTATCTAATAAATACAGGAAATGGTTACTGACTGTAGAACTCTGAGATCAGCTGTACACTGGTCTCTTGCTGGGAAAGAAAAGGGCACTTGGAATCAGAGGTTATTTCTACGATCCAAAGAACTGCAAGATCTAATGGATTCCAATGAACAGCAAAACTCAAACCTAACACAGCCCACATTATGAAAGGGTGAAAAGGCACGATCTCTATTTGAAAACAGGAATATATATAATCCATCCAAGCAAAGACTCAGCCAAGGAGACTGGAGACACACCAGAGCATCATCCCCCACTGTACAGAAAATAGAAAGTGTGAAGGTTACCAGAGAAAGCAAGTGGTCCTGGATGCAGAACAGAAGAGAAACTTGTTTGCACACAAAGGAGCATCACAAGAATCCTAGTGACACACCAGATGCCAGGGGATTTTTATCTGTGCCCCTCTCTAATTGAGGATGAAGCACACACCAACACCATTATCTGGCCTGAAGATACTGGCTTACAAAATATGGAACAAACAATAGGAACAGATGCTCATTTGGCCAGGTTTCAATAAGCCTCATTAAAACTAAACACCCTGTCCTTGGAGCTCAGGTTCATGCTACATTTCTACCTTATTTAAGCACCTAGCATCAATTCCTGAGAAAGCTGTTCACTTGTGGTTGCCCACCAGAAGTATCACAAAAAGAAATCCTCCCACAGACATTTCTTTGTTTCTACAGAGACAAAAAGGTGGATATTACGTGTGTGTGTGCGTGTACACATATATATAAAAACACAGAGATTGCATTTCTTTTTTAAAGATATCAGGTTAAACATACATCAGACCTGTTGATCACTCAAATGCAATGGGCAAAAGGATGCTAAAAGATTAACAGAAAAACTGCTGAGGATGGAAGAGAATCAACGTTACAGATCACGCAGGTGACATCTGTGCACCACAATATACAATTTTTAATTCAAGATCCCACCTCTTTAGTCACAACATGAGCACACTTGAAACCATTTCTTCTACTCCTTATTTGCTTCTACACAAATATGCCCAAGTACCATCAATGGAGTTTGAGAGGAGAAACACCTGAAAAGCACAGCTAAGAACAAAATACAAAGATTCATCAGAACGTGATATTCTAGCTTTATTTTTAAATGACTGAATAAAACTAGATAATCCATAGGTTTGCAAAAGCCCCAGAGCACCTGGCTGCACAGTCAGCATAACACTGTACAGAAGACCAGGCAGACAAGGTTTCCTAACAAACACAGACTTCCTTGAGTTGTCAAAAAGACAATAGTCCTATGCTACTCTCCATAGATGAAAATGCATATATGTTTATAATAAACTTCTTTTCCCTCCATTTTAGAAAGAATGCCAGTTGTTAGGTTGGTAAGTTACACCTGACAGTCCTCTGCAGAAGCATTCCTTCACAAGAGAGCTTGATGTGCTTCAGTCTGAAAAAAAGATATCTCAATATTGATGTGTGTGGCCTCAAGGGAAACGGCATGTCATTCTTTGAACAAACTTTAGAAACATCAAGCACATGATCAGCAAATTATATTGATACAGTCTTAACAGAGCAAAATTTTCTCTTTTGCAAGTAGGTGCAGAATCAGAAATCCTGTTTTCCGAAAAAACATCATCCCTTGCAGACTGACTCACACTTCTGACAAGCAAGTGATAACGCTGACTGTGGCTCCCAGTCAGGGCTGATACTGCACTGCAGAATCCAAAAAGTAAATAATTATTTCCAAAGTAATGCTTTTTGTCTTTCAGAGCCAGTTTAAAAAAAAATTGAAACTCCTTTTCCAAAAAGTGTTGCAGATAAAGAAACCCACAGTTATACTTCCCAGTATTACCCTCCTGACAAAACATTTTGAAGTCCAAGGCTGTAAGACACACCAATCATGGAGGATAAAACCTGCCATGTGCACAAGGCTAGGAGAAAGCCTCTGAACTCCTTAAATCCCCTTTAAGCCCTTCACCTAGGGAACACTTAACAGTTGTGCCATTTGCCCGTGCCATCACTGAGCCATCTGCATCTAGCTAACTGGATTTATAAATGCTTCAACACTTACGGAATTTGAAAGACAAGCTTTCTTAGAGCCTATTTCATTTTAGTTTGTAGCTCGGACGGCAAAGGAAAGGAGTACAATAGCCAGGCAAGCTATTACTAGGGGAAATACTTTAAAACATATGCTTTTTCATCTCCAGGGTGATGGTTCAAATTCATTCTCAATAACATGAAACAAGTCTTGCTGTTCCTGCTTTGAGCCCTACCCACACCTCTTACCATGATCCCACTGAAACATAGTTTTAGGAGAGTTTATTATTTGGCGCATTAGGATGTTAAAGGCATGTCATTTCAGTTAAAAGAAGCATCACGTAAGTTTGCTGCTTTAGTAAGATGATCAGGTCAAACAAGATACAGGTACAAAGCAGATGGGGTTGAATGGGTGTGCTGTGAGCTGCTCTATGTCATCAGAATGATGCTGTATGCCCATACAACTCAGTCAGAGCTGCTCTGATGCTTTGCTCAGAGTTTCACCTACTTTGTATCATAAAGCACCTTGGGAAGGAGTGTGCAATACCAGTCATCTTAAGCTAAGAGTGGAGGTGTCGGTATTAAACATTAGTGCTTTGTACCAAGATTGGTAGCTTCTCTCAGAAGTGCTTCTCCACTGGAAGGTAACCTGGCATGTCAAGCACAGTTTACAAGCGCTAAGTCACCTGCAAGCACCATGACAAACTTTTATGATGGTCAGTTCCCTCACAGGAAACAAAAGTAATGGGACACCCAAATTTCACCAGCAAAATCACAGCAGAGATTTAGCTGGGAAATTATCTTAAAGGCCAATATAAAAGTGAGCCCCATAGGCACAAGGCACCTTTAACAACCATTCAAAGTATGAAGAGAAAAAAAGAAAAAAAAGAACTTCAAGAAGATCAAGGAATACATAACTGAAAGAGAAAACAAGCTTTTGAGTGGTCTGGTTTGTGGTGACTGAGGAGGAACAAAATGCCAGCTGGTTTTGGTAACAGATGGCTGCATGCACTGATCTGTCCTGCGTGCCCATTCTAAACTTCCTTTCAGTGGAAATATGAAGCTTGCACAAGGCTAAAAGCATCCTTTGCCCAGCCTTTCTATACATATTGCATCATGGTTCAAATGTTTTCCTTTCGCACACAGCCCTACATGTATGTTATTTTACGCTAGTTACTCTGAATTTTAAGAAAAGAGGGTGGCTAATGGCACCTCATCTTTTCCTATCACATCTACTACAATTCTCAAGGAATTACTGTTCTCTGACGGGCTAGTATATCCATTTTCTTACCATTCTGACTCCGTATCTCCCTCCTCCCTTTCCCTTAAATACAGCATTCACTGTATTTTAATGGAAAGGTCTGTCTTTTTTTGCACCTCCCCTCTGGGAGCTAAGAGAGGAGACCAAGATACTAAGAGCTCACACCTAGTATTTTTACCATATATCTGGACATTTATCATTTGAAGTTGCCACAGCTACTTACACAGCAGGCATAGGTCGCCCCACAGGCAAAGCCTATTACTTGTCTAGCAGAATGAACCCTTCAATCCGAGACATCTCTAGATGCAAGGAATCACTTCCAACGGAGAAAAACATCAAGTCTGAAAACTCTACACTGAAGGACAGAAAAGTCTTCCCAAAATACATGCTTTCTGTCTAACTGTAAATTTTAACAAGAACTGTTCTTTGATTAAAAATGAACAATCTGCTAAAAAACCCTCAAAACCAAAGCCGTTCTCTTACTTACTTTGGCCACACAATTTTCAGTCTTCACAGCAGTGCTTCCCAGACATACTGTTTCCTGGTTTAAGCACAGTCTGGCACAGCTGTTGTAGGTCTGCAGAAAGATTAAAACGGTTATGAATAGAAGAACACTGTTTTCTTTCAGGCACCATATTTTTGGCACAGGAAGCCACAACAACTCTACTATATTTCCTTTTTCCTAAGGTGTGAACGTTTTGAACCAAAATAAACTAGTTTACAGCAAAAGCCTATGTTGAGGACATGCATGTCCTCTGAGAGGCTATGTACAATTGTATAGCTTTAAGATACAAGGAAAAAAAAATTCCTCTCATTTCCTTTGAAAAATGAAAGGAAAAAAAGCTCAGTTGTTTGGTCTTTCACAACATACTGCATAACTGCACAAATAAAGCAAGGTGATTTCTACATGCTAGTTGTCACAGTGTATGTCAAATGTTACTAAACATCCCCTGGCTTTATCAGGTAAAAATACATGGGGACAGTACAAAGGTTGTGATCAGAAGGGAGCAAATGCAGACCACATCTCACTTGTATTTAGTCTTCCCAATTTTGGAAAGCTTTTTCTTTTAAAGCAGAATGTCTTTTTTTTGATAACTCATACATTGTCCTTTCCAGAGGACCCTCAGCTGGGGCTGCAGACTCTCTAATCTTTGCAGAGCACATTACTCATAGTCTCTCCCTTTTTTAAGGGCAGCATATGAACAGTGTTTATGAAGTGTGCCTAAAATCATGCTTTGGCTGATCTGGTTACTTAAACTAAGATACCTAAGAACTCAGGAGTTTCTAAGGGAGGCTTCCCCTCCCTCCCCCCCAACTTTCAGAGCCTTTTTAATTACTACTTGATTAAGCTCACATTTTCTAGTAGTAGTAGTAGGATAGTAGCACCTAAGAGCTCCGGTGTTGGACTAAAACCCCAGTGGCTGTTGCCGTTTTCACAAAACTGCTCCCAAGCAAAAGTGGCAGTGGAAAAGCAAGCACAAACTTGCTTTGTTGCAAGAGTAGTAAGTGGACCACAAAGAAGAAGTTGCTACCTCAAAATAGTTACATGGGGAAAACCCAAGAACCGTGTTGAAAGAGCATGGAATTAAACTTGCTACAAAGACATTTCCAAGAGCACTAAGTAAAACATACTAACATTCATGATATTTTTAAGATTCCCTTAAGGGGAGGACGCACAAAGATTTGTAGTGAAGTGCCTGTCAGTTCTCTCCCTGTAATATTTGCTGGCAATCTCTGAAGATCCTTCTTTCAGGGCTTGCTACAAATTTCTATTTGTTTGATTTGAAACTAATTCAACCCCAAACCTGCCATAGGTTATAAAACCTGTAGGCAAAACCAGCATGCTAAGGGCTTCTAAACCTCTCCATCTGCTCCAAAGCTATGCCATCAGAGCCAGATTCTCTCAGTGCTAAGCACCAAACAAATGATCTCCCTTTTTTGCCCCTCTGCCACAGGCCTGACTCTGCACAAGATGCAGTCAGTAGCAACACACAAACGAGCAGAGGAACACCTTGCAAAGTGCATCAGAGGCTAGAATGCAAAGAGATTAAAAGGAAGTTATGCTGAGTGACACAAGATGCATCCACAAATCCAGTGTTCCTAACAGTTTCCAGCTCAGGAGGACAGTAAGCAAGCACTAATTGATGGGAACTGAGCGTTCACAATCAGTTTATAACATTATTCACCTAAGATCTTACGATTCTCATTAAACATTCCCTACTTCCCACCATGAGAAATCAGTATAGTGGTTTTGGTGTTTCTGCACTGGTCTGGCACAGTACAGACACTTGCAGAAATTCAGCAAATCACAGCCCTTTCTACCTTACTTATTCACAGACCCTCTTTAAACTTCATTATGAAACAGAAACAAAAAAGAGCACAGAAGCCAAATCTTCTTCATCACTTTAGCAGTTCATGTTTTATTTCTCAGTGAGCTCTGTAACCAGAAAACAACCAGTGACAGACAAGAATGCAGAATATCCTGGCTCCAGCAGATCTCCTTACAAGTTACAACTACAACCAGCAGCCAGCTAGCAATTTCTGACTCTGGATCCAGACGGAGAAACTAAATAATTCAAACACACAAATCCTTTCAAAGTGCCGTGCAGATGAACAGAGTGCATCTTTCAGCAGGGGAGGTTCAGATTCAAACTGAGATTAGGCCACAAGCAAACAGAAGTCTGATGGACTCAATTTAGCCTCTTGCAAATATCTGCCAACATCATAAAACCATCACTCTGGTATGCACAGCACTTTCTCCTCAGAAGAAAGATCAGAATGGCATAAACTATTATAAATTGTGGCTTAGATGTAGCGGCCCAACTGGTGGACAGAAAGTTGACACCATCTGCTTTGCAGTGACATTCAGACAATTAACAGACAAACTTCATTTTATAAGCATCATGTTAGTTCAACTCAACCAGATTCTGAAGGGGAAAAACCATGGGGAGTTGATATGAAGCTTAGCTTTGTTCATTATTTACATTTATGTAATTTAACCCATTTATCATAAATCTGTGATTAATTTAATTCCTGAGATTCCAGTAGCAGTACTTCTGCACAACTTATTTGCTACATACTGTAAATTTTATGAGCCCTGACACAGAGAAAGCTACTACTAACTCCACTTTGCAGCCACAAAAGCATTTACTGAAAGCAACAAGGAAGTCTGTGGCTCCATGAACTGAACCATGAACCAAACTCAGATCTTGTCAGTCTTTTTCCTCCCAAGACAGGTATGCACAAACCTTGGCAGCAAGCCAGCTTTTTAAAAGCCAGGCTTACAACAGGCTTTGTTTCCCATTTGTAAACGTGAGAGAACAGACAATCCAAATACACAATATGGAATACTAAATACTGAATCTAAAAACCCTAGAACTTTCTGAGGAGGAAGCAAGCTCATTACACCACTATTCAAAAGTTGTGTGCATGTCAAAATGTAGACACAAATAACTAGCCCAACGTATTGCTTAATTTTTATTATTTTCATCCACACATCATAGCTCAGTGGGAACAGCACCAACTGAACTTCCAGCATAACTTGTTCATCAAATCCCACAATACCAGGACTAGTGGCACCTGATGGAACTAGTACAGTGTAAATTTAAAACAGATAAAATGAAATGCTTCTTCACACAGCAGGCAGTGAACTTCTGGAGCTTGCTGCCCCAGGACACTGTGCAGAGAAACAACAGCAGCAAGTGGAAAAAGGGATTAAACTAACTCATGGACAGCAGGTCCATAGAGTACTCAGCAGAGACATCCCCCAGGAATCCCCAGTGCAACAGGAGTAGATGCTGCAGGAGCAGAAGGGGAATGGAGCACAGAGAGTAGCCAGAACTGTTTGCTCTCATTCAACAGCATCTTCCACTGACAGTGCTAGTGTTGGCACTGGATGAGCAGACTCTGGGTGTGACTGACCTTGGCAATCCCTCTCTGCCCTCAGACAATATGCCAAGGATACTTAACTCTCCCCTTCTCAACCTTTTCAGCCACAGAAAGGAAACAAGAACATGCTTCTATTGTGAGAAACCACTTTTGTACCGTAATGTTATTATGTAAAGGTCTATGTAAATACCAGATTACCAGATGACCGTTTAGTCCTTCAGCAGCTCTTTATCTCTCAATAAAAGTAGTGGGAGAAAAAAGAAAATTAAAAGGAGTTATGTATAATGGATTCAACCCTTCAGGATACAGATTTGAGAATAAACCATACAGTGATCTTCAGTTCAAGGTCCATTGTATTTTTGCAAAGTTACAAAGTTCTTCTGTTCTTATTTTCACATTCTCACAGAAGAATGCATTATTAGCCTTGTGGGAGGAATAAAAAGGGTAAAGAAGATTCACATGCATATTCTACAATATGTTTTAAGAGGTTTCAAGCAAAAACACAGAAGAAAGCCTAGATCTTCCTTAAAGTCCAGGGGCAAAAAACAGAGGTAATGTGACTCTGCTTAACAGGTCTCAATAGAAATGTATTGATAATGTTGCGAAGAAGCTGCATCCGGCTCATGAAGTCAAGTCACGAGAAGCTGTGAGAACATATTATGAAGGTAGTACTATATGGCTGCCCTCTTCTAATGTTTCTCTGTTGGCAGCAGTTACTGGTTATCGCAAGACATAAGACTACTACTGGACATGGAGATTTGACTTCATCTGGTACTGTTACATTTGTGTTCATAAGCTAGGAGTTACCAGTGAACAGACCTAAGTGAATGCAGAATGAATGTCCTATCATCAAGTAATAATGCAGAGCCCTACATTTCAGGTAAAACATTTGATGGTGTCTCACCCTACCTGGCAACATCAGAGTACCTCTTTTCATTCATTCCAATGCCTATAGGAACATTGACTAACCTGGAAGAAAACCAAAACCAGAACCAAGCCTCAGAAAAGCAAATTTCTCAAGCTCACCTTTAAAGCTCGACCCTTTCATGAGTCTTATTGAATCTGCACCAAAACTGTTCAAGTTTCTCCTCACTTTTCATCACGATAGGAAGTTTTTTCACTGAGGAAAAGCAGTCTGAAATGGTAGCCTGGTTCAACATCACAGGCTGATAGCTTTGCGTTGGAGGGCTTTAATATGTTTTTATATTGCATATAAAGCATGCAAACATAAACCAGTTTGTTGAAAACTACCCTTTTTGTGGAAGCTGGCTGTAATTCTGAACAAGTTTTCAATTTTCACACTGCTGCTAGGGTAAAACATTTTAAAGAGTTTAATTTTTACAGTGACTTCAATGACACGAGATTATCTAACAAAGTAATGGTTAATCAATAGAGGGTTTAGTTGTCAAGTGAAACATATAACACACTAAAAGGGATTGATTGCAACGCTCCTCCTTATTTACTGGAAGGTATATATTTAAAATGACACAAACTTGTTACCAAGCTGCATTCCTTTAACCTTGCAAAAGCCATTTGAGAACAGTGTTAAGGAGCCCTATAGAAAAACAAGCTCTAATGAAAAAAAAACCAAACCTACAAATATATGGCAGCACCAAATCATGTCAGAAGCAGGGGAACCACAAAGCTGTATTCACTCTCAGCCAAAGGCTTAAAATGCCACAGAGACGC